AACATGACGGTGGATTTTGCAAAGACATCATCTTTTGATCTAAGACTGAAATTCTGAGGGAGATTGAGTATTTTTATCGGCAGTTATACTCCTCTTACGCACCTGATGAAAGGAAGGTTATAGATTCCAAGCCCAAGCAATCTCTGCGCTTAAATAAAAGGATGGCGCCGATCTCGTATGTGGGAGAGAGAGAGAACTATTGCTGTCTCGTTCCGATTCATGACCTATGTTGCAGCTAGAAAATAATCTTACAACCGTAGGCCATTGCTTAGAAAAATTACTCACATATGTGTCTTAAATATTTAATTTGGTAATTTATAATGTTTTACAAAAGAAGACTGTTAAATTTTTTATGGAGGTTGGTAGTGGGTCTTTCGGCAGACTCCAAGTTTTTATGAGATGCAGCGCACTTAATTGTGAATCGTTTGACTAAAAACTAGAATTTTATTTTATCCCGGTTTTTTATATTAAAATAACATAAATCTATCCAATAATTGATTTGCAAATGCCAAGTTTATTTATTTATTTTTTGTTGCCAAGCATCAAATATATTATGTTCAATGTGTAACAAAAGCATTGATAATAATTCTGATAATAATCCATGACTGGACTGATTGATATATGCCATAGTGATTGAGTTGACGTTATAAGCCACCACACACTAAAAATATGACGTTACTAAGATAGGGTGGCCAGCATACTTACAAAGTTGTTTAATTATTAAACACGATTTTAAAATAATCGGTAATGAATAAAAAAATCAAAGTATCTATTCATGTTATACAAACTTTCAAATTATATATATATCGTCCCTGCCGGAAACCGACTACCGCTTTTGAACCATATCCTTTAGTTAAAGTATGTTTTTATAATAAGCAATTTCTCGTTAATTGTAAAAATATGATTAGAAATCATTTTTTATAAAATGTAATATGAAAATATTACATTGGTATTTTATTTTATGAATATTTAGTATACATAATAATTGTGCTTCAATAGTTAATCTGAGTGATATAAAAACTGTATGTATATTTTAGTTAAGATATCTGAAAAAAAAAACTTTTTAAAAGTAAAATAACAAAATCTGTGATTTGATTATTATATTATATGGTTTGTTGCTGATGATTGATGTTTCGAATTTTATAAATATGTTGATCTTAAATACTTACATTTATAACCTTTGTGCTTTTATTTATTTTTTCAATATTTAGAATATATAATAACTGTGCTTAATCTGTGTGATATAACAAACCATATTTATAATTTAGTTAAGTTATTTGATAAAAAATAATTTCTATGGACTTTAAAAGTAAAGTAAAAAATCTGTGAATTGATTATTATATTTTATGTAAATATTTATATTGGTTTGTTACTGATGATGAGTGTTTTGAATTTTATAAATATGTTGATTAAATACTTAGATTTATAACCTTTGTGTTTTTATGTCTTTTACAATGTTACTTTACTACACGACTGTACTTTATCATTCCAAAAGAATTAGCCAAATAGTTAAGAGCTCCAATAGCATAATAAATAAATAAAAATAAATAGCTCTCATTAAGTCGTTAAGTACGTCTTTGAGGGTCCAATGGGCACCATGTTCTTGATAGGAGGTCGAACGGGCACTTTTTTGTAGGTAAGGTCCAATTAGGAGGGTCCAATGGGTACTAGACCAACACGGAGGGTGTTTTGTTTGTTCAAAGCTTTTTAAAAACATGTTCAGTTATTGTACTTTCTTTTGAGGTATCGTTTATGCAAATTGCTTAGAAATTGTTGAAACTAAGACCAGAAATCCTAATTGAGGAAGATTTTTTTATGTTTTAGATGAATAAATTAAAACAAAATTTAAACTGAAATCACTTATTTTTCGTGTTCAAAATGTTCGCCGCAATTTCTATGACACGCACGGGCCCGTGTTCTTACTTCCGTTGTCGTTATTTTCAACATCATCTCCTGTTTCATCGTTTGAAATGCTGCATTTATTCTTTCTATTAATTGTTCTTTTGTGTTTATCTCCACATGAGTTTAAACTAGTTCCTTGGCCCGACCCCACACGAAAAAATCCATTGGTGTAAGGTCGGGTGACCGAGCAAGCAAAGAGATTGGGCCATCTCTGCCGAACCAGCTATCAGGGAAGCAATTATTGAAATGCTCTCTTATGTTTAAAGTCCAATGGGCTGGACACTCGTCCTGTTGAAAGATGACCTCTCGATCACTTTCCAATATTGGAGCACAGGAATCTTCAATAATAAATCTTGAATAATTTATGTAGATAGCTTATAAATCATTGAAAATAGGACCTACATACCAAATTGAGAATAAAAAAGCTATTATGAATATGGGTTCGAGTCCCGTCTACTGCCTAGTCCGCGTGGAATTTTTTTCTAGTTATGTTTTCTTTAGATTATATTATTATTATTCTTATTTATTTCATTTCACAAGTTAGGTTTTTTATAAAATAGATATAAAAGTAAAATACAAAAATGTAAATACAAAAATAAATATAGTATAAAAAACCTAACCTAGAAGGCCACCAGCAGCGGAGCGAGGCCTAAGCTACCGGTGGTTAGGGCCGCAGAGAAAGAAACCGCCTGACAATGCGCGCCGTGTCCAGGAGTACTGCCTTTTGCATCTGCCCCTTGACCCAACCATCTAGCGAGAGGCTCTTTAGATGTTGATCGAGACTCTTCGCTATGAGACCGTTTACGCTAACGACTATATTTATTATTTATTATTATCATAGATAATTAGTGTGTACCGATAACACTCAAATATTGGCGGAAGCTGGCACACATTTACTATAAACGGTAAGGAGGAATAGTGGGGCGCGTCTTCGTGGATTGCAATATCTGTAGATGTAATAAATATTTTAATGGCCAAAGATTCCAAAATATCAATTTATGAAAAAATAGACTAAGTCTGTTTTTACCCTTCGCCCTTCACGTATGAGATCCTATATTATTATTGTAACTGTTACTATAACGACATTGAGAAAAAAATCAAATTTAATTTCTAACTATTATATCGCAAACAGGGCACACAATAAGTTTGCGGTGTATACAAACCAACTAAACGCTTACACCACTCGAGAACTTATATTAATGGTTACGTGCTTTCATTCGCGTTCCATATCCCCGACACAAAGATCCATTAGGAATTTTTCCCGCTTAGTCACTAAGCTCTCTCTTTTCAAGTGTTACAAACCTCGATCGTAAAACTATGTTTGCATAAGATGTTTGTAGGAACTTGGGTATTTTTCTCGTCGTAGCTTGATCGTAAAAAGTGTGTAAAAATCACTCGCACACACCACATATAAGACGCCACATTTGGCATTGGTCTAGGGTCTAAATGGTTATTTGCCAAACCGCCCGCAATAGTTTCCGAATATGTATGTCCGTTAGTAGACTTTTACTATATCGATTGCGCCATATATAATTTAAAGGCAAGGGAATCTCTTAAAGAAAAATTTAAAGAAATTAATATTTTAATACTGGCATCGCAATACATTTATGAAAATATAATATATGTAAGAAAAAACTAATGACGCATTTGCAAAAAAAAGTCAAACCCATAACTTTAACACGAGATTTAAAAACAAGCTTGCCGTTCCATGTTTCAGACTCCAAAAATCAAGAGGTTCATTTCTGGGTTGTAGTATTGCATTGTTTAACAAAGTTCCCCAAGATGTGATTGAGCTTCCACTAAGCAAATTTAAATCTCAGATCAAGAATTCTCTTATGAATAAGGGCTATTATAAAGTTAATGATTATCTAAAAGATCGTAATGAATGGACATAGTGTTTCTTGTAATTTGTTATTTGCTGGGTATTAGTAGTTTCTGTAACAGTAATATGGTACCTATCTAATGCCGCTTCCTATATACTAAATATAAAATTATTATTGTTACTGTATATATCTATATCCTAAATGATGTAATGGAAGGTGACTTCAGAAGTATCTCTTAAGTCATTTTTCAACTTGACGACTTTGTATATAGATACAGGGAGAAAAAAGCAGCCCTTGCTGAGTTTCTTGCCGGTTCTTCTCAGTACAAGGTCTCCCGCCGTAGTTTCGCGAACCGATGGCGTAGCTTCTGACCTTCACAAGTGCTTGTAACCTAGACTGAATAAATGACTTTTCATTTCATTTCATTTCTATGTGCACCGAAAATGTAGCAGTTCATGCATTCAACCTTTTTCTTTCGCTCCTCGTCAAGCATAGGAAACAAAATTACGTTGCTATGCTAGTGTTCTTAATTTTAGGGTTATGATTATGTTTATATATCTATACGTGCCCTATACCACCTGTACCTAACACATCGACAATATTAATATTCTTCTGCAAAAATAAGGCTTACTGATATCATAAAAACGCATTAATCTTGTAGGTTAATTTGAACAAATGTTAATCGTAAACAGCAAACCTTTTCTTGCCAATTCACTGAAAGTAAGTAATAAACAGTATTTTCTGGTTGGTAAAAGAAGTCAAGGGAACCATTAGGAAAATATTTTTGCTGCTTCATTCAAACTTTAAAATATTGCGAGACAAAATCACGTACATTAATTTAACTTTCTTTAAGAAATGCTTTAAACTTAAACAAATTTGACGACTAACATTTACCAGTTCCTTTAGTGGCAAAATGTTCCTTTCGCAATTCTGTCATAACTCATGGACAGAATTCTTGGTTGTGGCAGAAGCAAATTAAATAATTAAGTCAGTCAAGTTCCTAACTGTTGTTTTCTTTGCTTCCTCCGCAGTAACTTCCAAACTTTGTCTTTTTTACGTTTAAAGATTAAGTTTATTTTATAGTTCTTTTTAGAAACAAATACTTAATAATTGACCAAGGAAATAAATTTGAAAACTGCAGTATTTTTACGAACATTTACACTTACAAATTGTACTGGAATATTTAGCTTCATATACTAAACTATTTCAGCTCAACTCAAGAGAGTAATATTTATATTTTTACTAAAATTACTAAGTTACAAATTTTAAACTCACCGAGTCCGCCCAAAATTTGGTGATTGGCGCCGTGAAGAATTCGTAGATCTTTTTCCTCAACCTCAGTGGTCTCATTCTCTTGTCTTCTGGCGCGTGGTACTCAGGTAGCTCCCTGTACGAGGGCTCCCACCCTATTTTACCCACTTTTCCATTTTGATCGACACGAGTTTCACATTCGGCCCCTGAGCCAATCAACGCCTGCTTGAGTCCAGACAAATACGTATAAAGATTACAACGACATGTTCACACTGTCCAAAACAACAATAAGAATCTCAGTCGATCGAAAATATTAAGAAAATGAACTTTACATCCAGCTGATCAGTGAAGTTATTACAAGCTCAAAAAACGCAGGCGAAAAATTAGAAAGCTGCAATCCGTATTCTTGAAATTAGTTTTGCCGCTCAGGATGCAAATATTATGACACACTAAAGATTTAACAATCAATAGAAATAAAATTGATAACTAAAATAAAATAAGCGTTACAAAAGTTAAGATTGATTAGATTTTAAAACGCCAAAGAAATACCTGAACATCGAACCGTTTATAACAATATCAAACTAACTACGACACAGCCGAAATATTGAGATTTTCTCATAAGGCAGTCACCGTTTATGCTTCACCTCGCGCGTTATTAAAACTGGGGAGACCCTTTATTTTTTTTTAATTAGATTGCGACTTTTTTGCCACGAAGAAACCTATGAAGAACGAAGAAAAAACATTTTACAAAATATTTTTTTCTGTGTTATTAAAACCATTTGCATGATATAAGAGCTCGCATGAATTTTGGATAAGGTTATAAATTCTCATTTGCTCGATGTAGCTTTGAAGAGGTAAAATTCAATGTGAGTCATAAACGGGTGACGTGGCCAATAAATGCCTGGGAGGAACTACGATAGGCGTGAAGGGAGAAGTATGGTACATGAAACGCCAAGGAAGCCTACATCCACGTAAAGCTATAGACGATATGTTTTACAACACAGGCTTATTCTCGCGCACTTAAATCTAGTCGACTACAACCTCTCCTGTCCTTTCGCCTCATCACTGACGAAGACGGAAAGCAAGACAAGGCTGTGTACGACATAGAAGATTCTTGAGAATTGGAGCCCTTTTAAAGTAGAAACAGTTTTGCGTGTGTGCGATACGGTAATACGAACACAATAGTTTGCTTTACGGTTAGAGAGGATAGCTGTGAATTTGTACCCATTTCAGTTATTGCTTTGTGTATTTGCAATAGTATGTGCACTTACTTATGTCTAGTGTAAATCATATTATTAAAACTCAAAATAAAGAACAAAATTGTAATCCGGAATAGAACATTACGAACGAAGAGATGGAAGTCATGAAATAAATGTTGAACAACGTCTGTATTTTAATTTCAAAAAATTTAATGCTATTTTCTGGTCACAATAGAGAAAAAGGCAAAGTTACAATTTATATATTTCGTTTTGCTGAAAATCAAACTCTAGTTCTTGATAGGTAGTATTAAGTGACAGCCCTTTTAAAAAATAATATAAATTTCAAATATTAAAAACTTAACAGCTAAACATCAATGTGTTGTGCTGGTGATTGATACACATTCCTACTCGTGTGTTTTCCGTATCTTTTGTGCAATTTTGTGTTCGCATCACTTCACATTTCCGAATAGAGAATGTACGCGTTCGTCTACCTTAGCAGATTTACTCTGTTGTCCCGGAGGTATTATCTTCTTGATAGATAGCGGACGCCTTTTCACAACCCCCACCTACATTAGGCAACAGTTTCAATTTTTTGCACCTTAATTTATATTGTGATAAGGATCCTTATTAAATGTTTGCCAAACATATAAATTTACATAATGTGATCTTAAAAGACTCAACAATCATTTACAATTTTAATTAAAAAAATAGGTTAATCAGCAATTAATCACAACAGGCAACAGTTCACAAAATCAACTATATACACGAGAATTAAATTCTCCTTGAATAATTTTCAATTTGGCAATGTCAGAATGTCAGTGTCAATAGACTGTAATCCGTTTGCTCGGTAACGAATTTAGGGCGGAATTCAACTGGATATAATTACACCTACGTACTACGTGCGAGGAAACCTTATTTTAAATACAACTTATGTTGCTTGCCCTGAATTTACAATCACATAGGCTATTACACATAAGGTGGTGATCTATTGTCAAAAACCACTTGAGTTAAAAATCATTTCAGACATATGATATAGCAACCATAATAGTGAGTTAACTAATCTCTAGTTTGTTTGACAAAGTACTTCTAGAAATAAAATGATCATCTAGATAAACAGCAATATAAATTCTATCCTGTATACATCGTTAATAAGAGCATCATATACTAGTGGTAGACTTTTCAATCAAATATTTTAATTTCAATCAATAGTTTTATCAAACGATATAATGACATGGATGAAGCGTGATGAGAAGCAACTGAACGAAAACATTACCTCAGCATCATTAGGGTCCCTGGTGCTGCGGTCGTCTTCCATGCTTTCATTCTCAAGGTGCTCCTCCTCCGTCTGCGGCATCAGCTGCAGTTCTTCCTTCGACTTGAACTCCAGTTGGAGAATGTACAGCGGACACAGCAGGCTCAGAATTACCTTGACATCACGACAAAGCCGATGTGGCAAACGAAACGCTGCTGGGTCGATGCTAATCACTTTGACTCAAGCGATTCATGCTACGTCTAGACCCGGGACGGCGGTTGTGCAAGTGATGATTCAAAAGTCAAACAATAACAGTCAGTACGTAACTTAAAGCAAACCATATTCAGAGTGGGAAATGAAATTGTGAAAAATATGAATTTGGTGGAAAGCAGCTTCTACATCTATTACACTAAAGGAATAAAATAGCACAAGACACACCTGCTTCTAAATAGACAACAATAAAAAAAAAACAATCAAAAATATAGTTATAAAAGAGTGCAAATACTTCATTACAATTTACTATAAATTGGGAAGGTGTTTTTGAAGATTTCACTTGCATAATCGGCGTCATTAGGCATCGCATGCAGAATTTCAAAGTACTTTAACTAAGCGTCTCATTGTCTCACTGACATCAAATGTTACTGTACAGTACTTCTATTTCAATAAGTAACCTCAAACGGGTAGAAATAGGAGCATTTTATTTATGGAGCCTGGAATAGTATGTATGTGTTCTCGAACAACACCATAAAATCAAAGACACCAATGTTAAGCTTTGTGTAAATCTGCATTTCTAACTTGCTATTTTCAAAGCATACATCACAAAAAATAATAATAAGAAGTACAGGTTTTACAATATTCTGAGAGTCTGAGATATTTATTTCACTTTATTTATCTACGAGATTACTTATCGTTTTAGTGGTACCGATTAACATAATCATTATCAAGTTAATTATGTTATTATCTAACATAAAATCTACTATGATGTACGTGCCTATGATAATCTGTGCGTTAACATGAAGAAAGAAAAGAAGGGAATCCTTTTACTACAATTGTGTTTGTACCTTCAAATTTGTGTTTTTCCTTGTTCTGAGCCCTCCCATCCACAAATCAGCCAGTATTATCTGGGAGCATGGGTGTGCAAGCAAGGCTCTATGGTTCGCGGCAACTGCTAGACTTAGACACGTTTGTCCAGACCAATTTTGTAATTCGCAAGTGAGTAGCTGTTGGGCTTGATCGTCGTCTTGCCGATAACAATAATCCAAAAGCTCGAGAGCTGTAAAGTTTTAAACCAGTTAGACGGGAACGTAATTAGTATTATCTTTCAACGAAACTCTCAAGCATCGAGTGCATTTGTTTGCTTTTGTTTCGACTTAATCCAATACAGTACCGCCTTTAGTAGTCTATGCAATAATTAAGTTAATTTAAATTAGACTAAGAATTATTGTAATAAAATTGAATGATGACATTTTTTTTGATAATGTAATATTTCTTACCCCTTCTACTTTCAACTTAGTCTATGTTTTGTCCCTGTCAATGGAATGGCATATGCCATTTGAATGAAATGAACAAAAACACGGCAAAACTGGTCTAAGCTTTTTTTTTAATGTGGGAGTTATTGTTTGGTCTTGCTTGCTATACAAATAGAAAACAATATCTGTACTATACAATTACATATTATACAGAAATTGTTTTCTTAACTAAGTAATTTGTGTAAAAAAGTTTTAACTTTAATAGGCACAATCTAACTTCAATCATCGATTAATAGCGAGGTCATTATCTTTTCCATCAAACCTTTTCGATATCATAAAATAGAACTTGCCTCATATAAAAATGGAAAATTTTAGTTTTGTTACAAGTTATTCCATTATCATCAATCATGCCCTAGCTTCGGAAATAAAACTGATATGATTGATCGGTTTAAAACTCCTAGGTTGGAAAAGTCAAGTTTGGTCCCAGGTAGCAACATAATTATTGCAGAGTGAAAATATGTCCATGTAATGATAGATAAAAATAATGCTTTATTTAATATTCTGATTATATTCCATTGTGGCATCGAGACTCTATATACAACCTGAAATAACATAATTACTCTTAAACTTTGAAAATCAGGCCTGATACAACAGTTATCTGTGATGCCTTCATAACAGACCAGAGATCATTATTCATCATAACACTAAAGTATTTCATGAACAATATTTATAAGTCGTTATAAGTTATTCTGGTGCCGTCAAAAAATAACACATTTAATATACAAACGTAGGCAATTTTACTCGCAACCCTTGTTTTGTCATAACAAATACTGACATGTTTATAAGTATCATTCTATAAAAGGTAATATTAAGGTAAAGGAAAACATTTAGCGCAGAATTGTCAGAGAAAAACCATTTGAACACTTTTATGTTTATTCCAATTGACGGCTTCATTATTGTTGATCGAAGGCTTCATTCAATGGTTAAAATAGATACTTTTTCTTGTAGACCAAGAGTTGCCTGGGGCCCGTTGTTTGATGTTTAGTCAAATTTGACTATTAGTCAATGTCACGTCAAATACATATTGATATTAAAATTTGACAAATTGTTACTTTTCTATACTCACAGCCATAGAGCAACGCGACCGACGCTGCCAGGATGGAAGTCGGCATTCACAGCGTTCCCATCTGTCGATTATCCCCCGCTGTTGGACCAGCTCCAAAACAAAACTAAGTTGCGCTCGGATATTTCACTAGACTGAGTCAATTCGCGCGAGTATATGTTAGAGATTTAAACACAAAATTCATATTATTTTGTCAAAATTCAATCGTCGGACTTGTTACTTGACTACAAATTTCAAATCTGTCGATAAAAAATCTTAAGTTTCGTTTACGCCCGATCTAGCGCTGTCATTTTTTGTGTGTGTCGTAATTACAATTTCATTTTTTCGAAAGTACGTTAGACTGCATTTGCTCCCCCCGCTAAAAGTGGCAGAATGATTCCAGGAGTATTATGTCATTATGGCTACTCCCCTCCTAGCTGCGTCGGCTGTGTTGCTCTATGCTCACATCACATCTAACTATGTCTTAAATATGCGGCCTAAAAGTGTTGATAGTTTAAAAACGAACAAAACACTATTGGAATCGATCCAGGAGCCATCTCTACTGTTGCAAAGATCTTCTAGAAAATGAAAAAGATACCTTTGTTTTCAAACTCCTTGCCGTAGTGCCTTAGCTCCTCATATACCTCCGTCTCCATATCGTCTTCTGCCGCTTCGTGAGCCATCGCCTTGTACAGCTTACACGCAACCAGTGATTTGGCCAGTGCTTCCTCACCATGCGTCCACATCAGCAAAGCCATCTGGTGACGCTTCGTTAATACTGCCCATGTCTGCAAAAGAATTCCATAGCCAAATTTTTTTTAACTTCTAACCTATAGTTTTTTATACTAAAAAAAGTGAAAAGTCATTTATACAGTCTAGGCTGTTACAAGCACTTGTGAAGGTCAAGGAGCTACGCCATCGGTTCGCAAAACTACGGCGGGAGACCTTGTACTGACAAGAACCGGCAAGAAACTCAGCAAGGGTTGTTTATTTTCTCCCTGTATTGTTATATACAAAGTCGTCAAGTTGAAAAATTACTTCAGAGATACGTCTGAGGTCACCTTCCATTTCATCATTCCGAATACAAATATAAAGTTACAATAAATTTTATAGTTAACATTATACTTAGTATATAGGAAGCGGCATTAGATAGGTACAATATAACAAAAGAAAATATAACTAGAAAAAAATCCACGCGGACCAGGCAGCAGACGGGACTCGAACCCGCACCCTTCGCATGCATGCGTTCGCCCGGATAGCGAAGGGTGCGGGTTCGAGTCCCGTCTGCTGCCTGGTCCGCGTGGATTTTTTTATTATTTTATTTTTGATTAACCTGCCTCACATTAGGTAGAGTAAACTTAACACATTTTGTTTTACTGGAGTTAAGTTTTAAATTATTTACCGTAAACCAATGAAGAACTTCAGAGAGATCACAATTTACTTCGTCATAACAAAGAAATAACTCGTTTGATCGGTACGGATTATAATCAGTGGAACTATTCGCTAACTGCTTTTGACAGACGGAAGTGATAATCACCGAGCCATTTAGTGATCTACTAGTGCTTATTATGACGCAACTAAGATACTTGGTCTTAATAGCATCGATTCAGCGAATAAGCCGGCTGGTCTAATATAAAACAATAGTTTCTCTTGCTCTTAGGAGCACACGTTGGTTCATTTGATTACGACCTAATTGCACCTACCTAGCCTTTCGCACAGAAACACGCCGTGAATGCAAACTTTATAGTAATTACCGGGATTGCTACCATAGCCCTTTTTTGCGCAACCCTGTAAATGTCGGCACTGTTGCAAGTAACTACCAGTAGTAACTCATGGAGACTGTTCATGGCACTTGTACTAACAGTGCCGAAATAACGGGGATTCGCAAAAAACAAGGCCCAAGGTAGCAATCTCACAAATTACTACAAAGGTGCTCCTTCACCGGGAAAATTCGCCTGTAATGACTGTATGTAACATTTTAGATTTGATTTTGTGCATTAATTAACAATAATACTGCCTTCCTAATTGATAAGCATTCGCCAGTAACGGAACATGTAAATTACAGACAAATGCTTCCGGTTAGGGAGTACCTAAATTTAATTGAACTTGAAGTTTCAAATGAAAATGCAAACGGTCTGAGTTACGGCGTGCGCACCGTTAAGCGGAGCACGGAGCGGGCGTCCTCCCGGCGTGTGTAACTGTTCTTTTGTCTGCGGAGGACAAAAGTTCTTTAATCGTGAAAAAAAATCCGCCGAGGACTTGCCACGAACTCAACGCACCTGTCTCGTTGGCAAAATTTAGAGATGCATACGCTATGGAAGTATATGTCCTCTGATTACGTTGTGTTGTAATTAACATGAAGTTTAGGAAAAAGAAAAGGCATTTTAAAAGAGAATGCCGATTCGCTGTGTGCGTTGCTGCGCCTAGTCGTTTTTTTGTCCAATCTGGTCTCTCGGTGTCCTCGATTATTCCGGGGACTTTTAATCCGTTGTAAGCGTTATTCGATGTAAATGTAAGCTATCTATTTCGATGGATAAAAAAGTCTCTTCGTTTGCGCAGACTATAAGCATTACTAACCAACAGCTCATTGAAGGGGTAGTCGAAGAGCGCCATCTCGGTGGTGACAGGCATGAAGCCAGTGATGAGTGATAACCCGCCGGCGTTATGCCTGGTGAAGGAAGCGCTGTTGCGGTGAACGTTAACGCTCTTGTTCATCACCTTCGCGTAGATCGGCCTGAACTTGCGGCGAGTATAGTAGCACCTGGGTGGAGGAACATAATTTTATATGATGTACACATATATTGATTACTTACTAGCTATCCGCCCTTTACTTTAACGCGAAAAAATAAAATGTTGAAAATGTTTGAAATCGATTTAGTAGTTTTTGAGTTTACAAATATACGAAATACTAACCTTTCCTCTTTATATTAATAGTATTTATTGACTTATAGTATGATTCAAACTTCAACGGCTGTTTCAGTTCAGTCGGGGTACAGTGAAACGTGGCAAAACCGCACTCATGTCTATTGTTTCGTTTACCGCGCCGCGACTTGCGCTAACTTCACAGCCGTCAGTAAGTTTAAAGCGCACTTTACCTACACCAGGTTATTATACAAATGAGCAATAAAAGAGTTTTTATATTTACATAACCAGTTGTTTATTTTCTAGAGCAGATAGTGTAAGCATATCAATCGTCAGGAATGAACATAATTATATAACATATGTAGATAGAAACAATTGCAGGCTGAAAAAATATGAGTTGAATATTCTATCAATTCATAAAATCAATATCATAGTAAGACTTTATATAAACGAGTGGCTCGTAGGCGAAAAGTAAAAGGTGGCAGCGGCTGCATTCGACCGGGCGACGACTGCCGTCAACGAGTCAACGCCGACGGCTGCCATCTGCTGCAAGTAGGGTTGCCAGGCCATAAAATGCAAAGGCCAGACTGCGCACTATATAAGGCCTGTCATTTTGCCCTAAAAGCCGGACATATTTATTATATCAGACAGCGGGGCGGGGTAGTCACGCTCACGTCACGCGCCGCGCGCGCCAGCAGTTTACTCTCTTGTCCGCTAGGACGCTCGTCCGCCCATCGTCGTACGAATTGCCACTCCGACAAAAAGCCTGACAAAAGCCGGACAGGCTAAACACGTACATATTTGGCCGGACGCGACCGTAAAAAGCCAAACATGTCCGGCTAAAGCCGGCAAGCCTAGCTGCAAGCCGCTCGTATATATAAATCCTAACATCATCATCATCGTCATCAGCCTATTAATGTCCCCACTGTTGGGGCACAGGCCTTTCCTATGGATGGAATAGGGAGATTGGGTCATGACCCACCACGCGGGCCTAGTGCGGATTGGCGGGTGCTAACGACTGCAAATGCAGCCGGGACCAACGGCTTAACGTGCCTTCCGAAGCAATGAGGAACTCAAGATACAAGATTTTTGGTCACCCATCCAATAACCGACCACCGCGAAAGTTGCTTAACTTCAACGATCGTAGCCGAACGCGCTAACCACCTGCGCCATCGAGCTCTTCGTAAACCCTAAATCATATTCTTATTTCAGATATTTGACACGTTTTACCATAGAACCATTTTAATTTACAACAGGCAGGCAATGTACGGGAAATATTAGAGTTTCGTATCGTGCAAATACAAAAACAATGATACCTACATCATCGTTTGTAGGTAAATACTGAATACTATGTGGTAAAAAATATAATCCTTTGCGCTTTATTATATTACTGCTACTGTCTCGCTCGTTCCACAGAAGCGCTAAATCTGTGGCTCAAGTAAATACGTGCTATGTAAATTCGTCTTCCCGCTGCCTGCGATATTATTCTTTTTACTTTGTTCCTTCATAATTAAGTATTCCAAGATTTTTGTCTTTTCCAATATTAAGTTTTAGAAAACGATCTCACGTTATTTATTAATGTATGTCTTTAAAAGGCGTTTATACAAAAGTAGGAAAACAACTAAATCAAAAATTCAATAGCTACAAAAACATTTCTCTGGACATTAAGGCGTCTCACTAGCATGTGACGTCACCTGACTGTCATTAAAACGTCAAAAGATACAATGTGATATCACTTTGACAGAAAGTTTACTAGCGTGTGACGTCATTTTTGTCTTCGCCAAGCCCAGGCGTTTTCGGTTCGTTTTCGTCATTAATACAGGGGAACACGAAATGGAGATGCTGTAAGGCAAAACAACTTTGGTTTGTTTCTTGGAACAGGAAAGTGGTAGGAACTATTTAAATAGCAAGTTCACTCGAAAGAAACAAAATTGAATACGTTGCCGTAGACACAGCCTGTTATAAAATATTGTAATGATTAATTAGGCAATTATCTGCCTGAACCATCTTTCTTACAACTTAATTTCTGACCCGAGCACCCTCGTAACAAAAGACAGGATATTCCAACCACCACAGGACAGAGTTATTTATTACCTTTATCTGATGACAGGACGCTCGCTTCAACGCATTTTTTATGTTTATAAAACCCCTAATGTGCCATCTAAATCATACGAGAATTAAGATAGATATTAAGAGACACAATTTAAAGAAATTTATGCTCCCCAATTAGCCTTTTTACTTTGATGAAGTGATATGCACAATTTCTAAAGCTAAGTAAATAGAGTATTTGACAAGTTTTAGGAAACGATCTCACGCTATTGACTAATATTTATAGAGTCCGTAAAAAGTCGATATTCATCATTCTGTTGTGTATTTCAGTCAAAATACCTAACCAAATCAAAAACTCCATTATTAAGTTGGCGTGAAAACGTTTCTTTGGACAATATGGTGTCTCACTAGTGTGTGACGTCACACGACTGTTATTAAAACGTCAAACGATGCAATGTAATGTCACTTTAACCGGAAGTTTACTTGCTTGTGACGTCATTTTAGGCTCCGCCAATCCCAAGCGTTTTGGGTCACGTGACAATAGTTTTTGTTCTCAGGCTTGTGCTATAAACAATGACTTTATTTATATAATTACACGTGTTATTGTGGAGTCAACCATAAAAGATAGACATATGCTGTTGCCGGATATTTTTTAGACAATTTTATGTAGAATATTTTCGTCATACATGATTTCTATGTAACTTTAACCATTAAGGCTGCACACGCGACGGAAGCTTAAAAAATGGAGTAACTTCTCCCGTTTTCCCAACATTTCCCTGCTGCTATTGATTGTAGCGTGATGAAAAGTATACTATAACCTGCCCAGGAGTATGAAGAATAATTGTACCAAGTTTGGTTAAAATCCGTCGAGTAGTTTTTGTTTCTATAAGGAACATACACACAGACAGACAGACAAAAATTTTACTGATTGCATTTTTGGCATCAGTATCGATCACTTATCACCCCCTGATTATTATAGTTATTTTGAAAACATATTTCATGTACAGAATTGACCTCTCTACAGATTTATTATAAGTATAGATAATGTTAAATACCCTATTATGAAAGTGCTTGCTTGTACTTATAACCATAAGAAACTGATTTGCGGAAAATTGATCGAAAACAATTCATCGAATTACAATTCTTCGAACACAATTCATCGAAAAAACAATTCGTCGAAAAACAATTCTTCGAACGGTAATTCCAAAAAAAAAATGAAAATTTAGCAGGAGGGAGGCTAAAACGAGGTGGGGAAAGGGGAAAAAGTATGAAAAAAAAACGTTGCACGTACAAAAGTGTCGTTTCTGGCGCTTCGCCGGCCGCTGCCGCGGCACGCTCGCTCCGCTCGCTCGGCTCGCGCGTTTTTGGTCATCATACTAACCTAACCTAATGAACTCTTTAGACTTTATTCATTGCGGGGGGCTTCGCCCCCCGAGCCCCCCCGCCCCACTTCGGTTCTGTCACTAATAATATGAAATATAAAAAGCATGAAATTCTACACATTAATTTATTTTGTATACATGTTTTATGGCATTAATTGTTTCTAAAAACGCGTTTGTTTGTTTTTCGGGGAATTACCGTTCGAAGAATTGTTGTTCGACGAATTATTTTTTCGATGAATTGTGTTCGAAGAATTGTAATTCGATGAATTGTTTTCGATGATTTTTCCGGTGAGGTAAGAAACTAGCGAGTGACCTGATTTCGCGAAGTTACAAATTTATCATTATCATTACTTTTTCCACTGCTGGGGCACAGGCCTTCCGACCTGACCCAAGTCAATGTCTTAATCTGTCATTTAAATTGTTAATAAATTTTATGCTAATGTAATTATTCAAATTTTGAATTATTAAGATATGGCTACTGTGTTGTATACTTGCATAAGCATGCTGTTTTCACATGCTATTGGAGTAGTTCTTTATCAATTGTTTTCTTAGTGTCTTTTACCATTTTGCTTACTGTAACTCTGTTTTGTGCAATAAATAATTAAATAAAATTGGTGGATACTAACGGTTGACAACGGCTTGACGTGCCATCTGAAAAAAGGAGCAACTCAAGATAGTATGTTTTTGGTCACCCATCCTAGGACCGGCTAAGGTGCAAGCCTTACTTAATTTCCACGATCACAAACAGAACGCGTTTACCACTGCTGCGCCATCGCGTTCCTCAATACAAATGACTTCATTTGTAATATTATTAAGTGTTGATATTTCAGTATAAAAACACCATCCTATTTTAAAGCTTTATGGTGGATTTATAAATAACCAATAACCATAATGTTATTTAAGCTTAACTGAGTTGGGTTTATATCATATTAAGATCACCCGTATCACTTTAAAATGGTTTTGTTTTTCCTTTTAGATAATTTCCATATTATTATGTGCTTATGACAAACTTCGTGTATCTATACACAAAATTTGTTTTGTTCACACGATGTGAAATGAATCGGCGTAAAAATCGCTGGCAATTCACGGGAACGGTTTTCGGTATCGCGTGTATGTAGAGAGATGTCAGTTTATTCCACTGAAATATGAGTGGCACGTTATTAATGTCACGATCTCGTTTCCACCAATTTTATACGTTTTTCTAACTGTATTGAGTGGTAGGCTCACAAATATATGATACCGAGAAGTCCAAATATTCATAAAGATTATTGAGATAAGAGTTACATCGGAATAAAACTTAACATAGATATGTCTGTCATGTCTGTAATGTCCTTAGTCTAGTTTAAGTATACATATTATATTCAGTGCCGTCTTTGACCTATTGGAGGCCCTGGGCATATTAGGATAATGGGGCCCCTATGAACAAGGGACTTTATATTTGATCTGAGGGGGCCCCCTATTGATTGCCCAAAGTGCCCACTGGGAAAGACGGGTCTGATTATATTTCAAAATATAAATCTGGATATTATTTAGAGGAAATATTAGTAAATGTTTGAAACGAATAGACTCAAAAACTTGTGGACCGGTTCCAAATATTCTATCACAATTTTGTAGAAAGCTAAACCAAAATCAATTTTAACGGGATAAAATATCCGTCTATTTTATCCCGTTAAAATTTATTTCTTCCGTGCAAAGCTTGAGCGAATCGCTAGTAATTTATATCTAAAGAAAATTTTACTATAGCAATACACTTGGTTCGGATATCGAAATGCTAACTCGGTTCGTCTTAGCTGGCAGGGACGGCCTTTCTTCCCCTTCGGCCGTTTTCGAAGCCAGTTTTGAGTGAAGAATTATAATTCCTTTTTTGAAACCGGTTTCCAAAACAGAAAAATACTTCTTTTTTCGAAACCGGTTGCGAAATAAGAAAAATGTTTCTTGAACACAGATTTTTGCTTTGTTTTTATAGTTTTTATTTAATATTTATCTTTCTGGATTGTAGTGTCCAATTTCATGGGTATTTTGACAATCCCGTCCTCATATAATTCTTTTCAGTCTTTAATTTTTAATAACCTAATTCTAATTATTTCCATAAAATAATTTTTGCTTTCGGTTTCGGAAATAGAAACATTTGTCTTATTTTGGCCACTGATTTAAAAAAAAACAATTATAATTCTTTTCTCGGAACTAGTTACGAAACAGCTGAAGAACTTTTTCTCCTAGTTAAAAATTCAGACAAATCAAAAAAGTTTCACTATAAAAGGTCTAGAGAAAATAATATTGGACAAACATGTCCCTAAAAAAACCAACGCATGTAAACCCCAATTGAGTGCAGATATTCTGGCGATCGCGTTACTACCGAAGTACCCATCGATTTTTACTGCCGATTACTCAAAAAGCTGTTACGCAGCGAGAATGTAAATTTTTCGACATTCGTAAATTGATTTTGGCGACTGTTTGATTCGACTGATTCAGTATGCTACTCGTCGACAATCATTTAACTAGTGTGCCACAAAAGAACATACATACATATATAGACTGTTAAACACTATACCCTGTCTGTATATACTTAGTATTATTTTTTTCTTAGTAAAAAATTCACAGATCTCGTGTTCTATATACACATCTTAAAAGAGCATTGAAAATGAATCAACCTATATTAGATTTTAAAAAAAAAACTAAAACTAAACAATTTTATTTCCAAACCCAACTTTTCCAAAATATTTTAACATCATCTTAAAGCCTTTCAAATTCCGCGTTTTTGAGCTCTCATAAGCCCTCGTGGCCGCACGCGAGCCGCCCCGTCGCATGATATCGCACCTCGCGCCGCGCATACCTCGCGGCAAAGGGCACCTCTACAGAAGCTTTAACCGTCACCAATATCGAAAAAAGTGTAATGACCTAAAATGTTCCTTGGATCAATACCGAGGTGCTCTTTTTCATATTTTCTGAAATTCGGCACCGTTCTCCAGATATCGAAAATTTTCTATGAAAACACATGATTTTTCGGTCGAAAAAGACGCTTTTCAAAATCACTTTTACATCTTCTTAAAGCCCTTCAAATTCCACGTCATTTGAGCTCTCATACGTGGCCCTTTTTTTGTGTCTGGAAAATGCCTTACGCATCCTTCAACCACTGGGGGAGCGAGAAGAAGGTATGTGGGACTCCTCTCTGTCCCCTTCAGCCAGCCCTGGAGCTCGCTGAAGTGAACAGGGCCCTACCTACGCCCTGAACAGGGCCACTAAAAACCAGACAATACTCCTGCACCGTCACCCGACACGCACTATGAGGACCGCGGTCCCCCTGGTGCGTGCCGAGAGGGCGGGTGTGGTCGCGGAACCCGTCTCCGAATGGCCGCGCACCCGCCAGTTGTCCTCTTGGCCCTAAGCCTCGGGGTATCACCGGCGAGTCGCACTTACAGCAAAAAAGGAGGGCCTACTGGAGCGAACGACAAAACATTTGCAATGAAAATATTTCGATAAAATCGCACGGCAAGATGATGAAAGTTTCACTTGCCTGTAAGCGCCACCCATGAGCTTGTTGATGACTAAGCCGATATCGTGCAGTGTATAAACGTATCCTCTTGGCAGGTGCGGTCTCACGTCACGTAGAATATACCTGAATAGGAAAAAAACATTGGATTGGATTTACAAGAGCTTACTATAAGTCAATATCATAAAGTATAATATTTTAAAGTATAATATTCAAACTCTTCACCCGCGCACATGTTCGGTCCTTCCTACAATCTGGGGTCCTTTAAAAACGCGTGTAGAAGCATTTGTGCAGGCTGATGGAGGAGGAGCTGGTGCACCATTACCGGATCAGGATTGCCACCAGAGGCAAATGGGAACAAAAATTCCCAGTCGCCACGGGTGGCTTAACTACTTTAAAAGGTAAATTTACTACCACTGAGCACCTACTATGTTCGAAAATTTATTTGAATGACATCTTTCTTAATAAGAGGTAGTTTAGAATATAATTTTTAATATTAAATTTTCGTCATCCTTTTGTTCTTTATGAATGAGCAAGCAATGTATAGTGAAACTAAAGTGAGGGCAATGACTTCCCAGTTTCCGCCGGTGACGAAGTTCCCGAAGGGCAACTGTGAATGAAGGGTCATTTGTCTACCTAGATATAAAAGTATAATAATTTTAATTTAATTACCGTAGGGTGTTGCTGGGACCACTCTTGGTGTTGTACAGTTCTTCTAACCGCGGGATTGTCAGAAACTTGCGCATGGATACCCCGTTTTCTAGAAGCAGCTTAACGAAATCTATCCGGTCATGTTCTAGAGCTTGCATCATGGCCTCGTCAAGGGCACCTGTGAGAGAAAAGGTTGTATCAAATTAGAGTTAAAAATAAATAAGGAAGGATATAAAGGGAAAGTTGGTTTGGGCTAATAATTATAAGGTATTTTAAGCGATTTCGAAAATAGGAAGGCGGAAAATAAGGAAAAAATTGCCTCGGAATTTATTAGTAAAATGTTCGTAACGTTAGTAACTAAGTACAATAAGTAACTTAATCAGACGAATATTGAATATTTTTCGGTATAATCTCAGACGTATATCAACTGTCGAGTTCACCTCGCAATAATGAGCCTTAAGTACAATTCAGTTTTCATAAAAGCATTTTTTTTCCCAGGAAAAGTGAAATAAATTGTAGTCATACAATAAAATTTTACATGAACCTTAGTTTTCTAAAAGTAGCTGAGTGACATAAAGTATAGAGTGAATTTTTATTACTTGCAATAAAATATAGGTTTGAATTTGAAGATTCCAAACCATCAATCGACTAAGTAAGCGTTAAAAAATTTATACCGACACATTTTGAAAACTAAAATAAGTAGGTACCTATTTATTTTAGTTTTAAAAATGTGTCCATTATAGAATTTAAGACAGGCTAAAGATAGTTCCACTAATTTTACAGATTTAGAAATTTCATACGCTAAAATATTATTGCTGAAACTATGAATTCATTAACGAATTCGATATTATCGAACCACCGCCGCGTCGCCCTAAATCTCGATAAAGCAAATGATGAACAAGTCTAACTCATGTCTAATCAAATAACATGCTTCAAAAGACGTTAACTGACGCTAAGATCAGCGCACGAAAAGATATATTAAACGTAACTAATTGTTGCCAAAGTGAAATGTAATAGCGGTAGCGTGGCTTATAAGATGATTAATAGACGGGCGGATGGTATAATAGGCCCAATATAATGCGTGACTTTGTGAAACAGGCTAAGATAGTACCTAACTAAAGGCTGTGCAATTTTTCTTTGTCATGTAATCTAATTATCTTATTATAATATGAGAACGGTTGCGGATTGCAACTTTTACCGTCAGAAATATAGCACCATTAAAAGGTAGTGTTATTTCATCTGTAAAGTGGAAGTAACTTCCCCAGACGATTCCAACGGAAAATTAGCTCCCTACCTTTCTTGAAAATAAATGGCAGTAACTTCTTGATACAAACTTCTTTTTATTTGCCTAACAGTTATTAAACTTTTTCATTAAACAACACTGAAAGAAATTACAGCAAGAGTGCCTTAAGTAGTTTGTGGCAAAGTGCCGTAAGTGGGAAAGTAACTCGTAAATCTTAAGTGCCAAAGTTTTATTTCAGTCGCGTGAGTGAGGTATATTGAGGATTTATTATCTTACTAGCGGTTAACTACATGACTTCCTTCTCATAGATTAATTGGTTTTTAATAGATATTTTTGTCCCCTCCTATACACCCCACCAAAGTTATATTTTCGCAAAAAAGGGTGCGTTTATTATTTTCACCCGACTGCGCAATACTAGAGCGCGAAGCGCGACGCGCAGACAGGGTATAGTGTTTAACAGTCTATTTAAGTATGTATTTTCCTTTGTGGCACAATAGAGACCAAAAGCCTGCACTGATTTTGATATTATTATTTTCATATAACTATTTATTCATATAACTTTTACTGTTTTTGCAGTGCAGGCCAAAATGGCTCGCTGATGGGAATTTTTTTTGCGTCTTACGTGACACTTATTGTTATATTTTGGAAAATTGAGTCAATAGCTACATAAATTACTATCTATATGTTAATATTATGTATGAGCTATATTATTCTTAAGTTTCATTAAAATTCATTCAGTATTCTTTGGGTGAAAGAGTAACAAAGATCCATACATAACTAAGATTGAAATTAAAAGCGCGTGGTTAATATACAAATTTAAATCGTTGTGGATCAAAAACAGTCAAATAAAATGAAAAATGCTGTAAGAACCTAACATGATTTTCGATTATCTAGACAATGATACCCCACTCAATATATTTTGTCAACTTATTTTTTTTCATTCACACAATATTGCGCTTAATTGTCCTCATATCGAATTTCGATTACTAACATAATATATTTAGAAGCACTCGCATGATTGGCGAATGCTACACGCTCGATATTTATCGTGATATTTGGATCGTAATCCAGGATCACGATATTTATCGAGTCTGTAGTACAGAGTATCACATATCGCGGTACGGATCGCTGGATTTCTAGAAATCCAAAAATCCACGATTTGTATCAAGTACCGTTGATAAATATCGAGCATCTAGTCTCTAATCGATATTTATTGCGTCAGTATTAATTTTGTCAGCGATAGAAGAAGACGCGCATATTGAGGCGGCCGCGGCGGCGCCCGCCGTATCTCATACAAACAACCAAATGCACTTGAAAGAATTCATACTAGTGTTAAAACACAACCAGAGGTATGGGACAGCTCAAGTGCCAACAGTGTAAATAAAGTGAAAAGGCCGAATGCCTATGAGCAACTATTTGAAATAAAAAAAAAATAAACCTGGCGCGACTACCAAAGATGCCATTGCGAAGATAAACTCATTAAAATCGAATTAAAATTATAGGAAAGAATTAAAAAAAAAACCGATTCGAAGCGATCTGGTGCTTCTACGGAAAATGTGTACAATTAGGGTTGCCAACTCTACTATATAATATAGTATCCTACTATATTAGGGGATGAAATACTATATTCTAAAAAAATATAAAGTAGGCGAAACTACTATATTTTGCTTAAAGCAGGCTTTTGCCAATAAAAGCTTTCTTAAAAATAAAAACTATATTATTAAGGTATAGAGCAGCAAAAAATATACTCATTTTAAAAATAAAGTAAATATTTTAAACATATGCTATATGTTTTTCATTTTTTTGCCTTCTACTATATTTTAGAGGTAACAATTTGGATTATACATAGGGTTAACAACAAATACCCAAGACTTTGGATTATCCAAAGTCTTGGGTATTTCTTATTATCACTCATAGCTTTATTTAAATTGTAATACGAAACTTACGAGTGTACTCAATGAAATTTACTGTCGTACTGACGTGGAAATGTATTTCTGAAATAGTACGTTTGTACTGACCTCAAACAGTCACTAGCGCCGGTGTCGTTAGCAAACCTCCGGAGTATCCCATACCTAACTGACGAACGAACGTAGACACGGTTTCAAACCGTACCTAGGATCCCCGTATAGAATTAGTCTCGTTAACAAGCGCCCAAAGGCTTCGGATCTTAACTATGCTCGGCCGTCTTCGGCCAAATACTGCCGATAAAATCAAACGTATCGTAAAGTAATAGAGACTGTACACTATTACAACCGCTATCGTCAGATGACGCCTGCTCGGAAAGCATTTTATAACACATTTAAACTTAAGTTTTGTGATCTTGTACTTTTATTTATTTATTTGATTTTATTTTACTTTAATGATGTTGTGCCCGGGGCGGGGCGCCTGCCATCTCGTTACGAGGCATAGCATTGTAGCTGCATGGACACACACACACCCACACTTCATAAGTTTATCATATGACAAATTCTTGAAAACCCTTTTGTATGGGTATTTAGTGATTGTTTTTCTTTTCTTTTGTCTTTTTCTTATGTTTTGTTTTGTCCAATCTTAATTTAATTTCATTATTTATGTTAGTAAATTATATGATTTATATACAATTTTTAAAGTTACATGTAATAAATACTGTCATATATTAACGCCGCTAGTATCTAATGTGTACATAATGAGTTTCTGTATTTGGTCATAAGATTGTTTTTATATTTTATTGTATTAAATCCACAAAGAAAAACGCTGAACTTAACGCTGAAACTTTGTTAAAGAAAAATAAATAAATAAATCTTTTCTTTTTGTTTTATAGATAGGTCCGACAAATGACTCCACCCCACCTGGTGTTAAGTGACGGTGAAGTCCAGACGTGAAGGTAGCTGGTACAGCAGTTCTACCTGCCACACCAGCCATCCTCACCCCTGTTTTTGTGTAGTGTTATTATTATTATTTAAATGTAAAATCTTAATTCATTAATCGAGCATTGTTGTGTTCATTGTATTAATAGGGATGACGACAAATTTTTTTTCTTCGTTTATCAGGTAGATTATCAAAAAGTATTGGACACGAAGTTTTTCTTTTTTCACATAATATAAACATTGCAGAGATATATTGATTTGAAAAGTCGCATGACGTCACGTTTTGGTACAATTTTCACTTAAAAGTGACGTCACGAGCCCCTATTCCCAAATTTTGACGCGCTTTATCTTTGCCTTTTTCATGGTTGACTGCCCAAAGAAAAAATGCGTGTCCATTATTTTTTGATCATCCAACTGACGGACTAAATAGAATTTCGTTTACTTTATCCCGTCGTCACCCCTATTACAATCTAATTAATTTCATTTGATATGACATATTATGAGTTAAAACTTAATCTTTAAATTATTATTTGTTAGATCATAATTATCCTTGACAATTGTAGTGTTTATAAGTAAACAACCAATATAAAATATACCCATAGTTTATAAGTGGCTCCATCTAGCGACCGGACGGAACGACGCGCGAACAAAGACCCACCTGTGCCCCAGCAGTGGGGACATTAATAGGCTGATGATGATGATGTATGATAAACGCAATGTTGGTGTTGCTAATAAATAAATAAATTATAAGTACATAAGTTTGAATCAATCGGCAAATACCGGATTAGGTGTATCCTAAGCCAAAAATAGCCACAGTATTTGTAGTATCTATTTTGTGTTTAGTGTATCCACTAGTATAAGAATATATTCTTGACTGTATGTACAATTAAGAATCCTGGATAAACCTTTTCGATAATACCTCTTAGTTGCTACGTGATAACACGTCCTCGCACAGGCCCTGCCAGAATATCAGCGCTGATACAGTGAGAGAATATTTTCTCATTGTATCAGCATAAGCTGAGGCAGGGTCCTGATTGGCCGTCTTAAATCTAGTAATTAATTTTTGTTCTTAGGTTGTTTCTTTTTATA